CGCTGATAATTAATATAGTAACCTGTGCTTGTACTGTAGCTTGTACTCCATAAACAGTTTGTGTGGAGACGGAACTGGCGGCCCGTATATTTGCAGCCTGCTCCGCCAAAGACGATGGCAAGATACTCAACGGTCGCTGTATAGTTGTATTCGGTTTACTTTGTTGAGACTGTTGTTGCTGGATTTCCATCACTTTAGCAGGTTTTCCACTAGCTATTTGTTGTACACCTTGTATCTGTTGCTGTGTCGCAAGAGCTAGCCCAAGAAAATAATAAACATGAAACTTATTTATTATTCTCTATATGAATTTTTGTTCACGTATTACAGGGAAAATTAAAAAAAAATTCAATCAATACTAGAAATTTAAAAATGCCTTTTACGGTCGAAACTGGATCTTCATTGCTTTAAATAATTCAAATTTGAGTGATTAGTATGTATTATATATATGTACTTGCATATTGTACCACATTAGTCTTCGAACTGTGCGTCAAATTGTTTTTTCGGATCATAAACATAATTAAAACTACAAACAAAATTATAAACTGAAAAACTAAATTCTTATTTTAAAAAATATTATATAATATTTAGAAATATTAACGAATATGGAAAGCTGTAAATACTGACTATTATGCGCCTGTATCGGCTGTGGACTTTGTATAAACATATCAGTTTGTGTGGGACCGCGAATGAATATTTGATTAGGCGCGGCAGTGAGCAGAGTCGGTTGTTGCAATCCGGTGGCCCATACTTGAGGTGCAAATTGCCAGGGTGCAAACTGCATACCTCCAGTTCTTCCACCTGAAGGTGTTCCAGTGGTGCACGCTGTATACTATTTAAAATGTAATATTATAAAATGTGTACAAATGCAGCTAGTAATATTTAAGAAATGCTACGCAAACATAAGATGATTTAGAATAAATGCCTCTTTGTTACTATATACCTTTTGTACTTGATCTTGCTTATTTGTGGATTGCTGTTGTTGCTGCTGCTGTAGTGAGGGTGGTGGTTGTGGAGAACCTAATACACCGAGTTGACCGAACACTAGCGTCTGTCCGGCACCGGGAGCGGACGTGGGTACTGGTAAATAGCCGGCCGGAAATCCCGGGACTTTGGTGCCACCGGCATTTGGATGACCACCTCCTTGTCCAGGCGTGGATGTTGTAGCCAACATGTGAGGAGTCAGCTGAGCTGCAGATTGAAATGGCTTTCCAGCTGTTATTACCTGAGAAATATGCATTGTTTTTTTAAACTAGGAGCGCAAATCTGATAACTATTAAACTATTAAAGAGAGAGATATAGTTCAGCGCGTATTAAACTTTTGGCATAAATTATTAGGTGTTGGAATTAATTCGTAGCGTTTTTTAATGAAAGAATGTTATTTATTTCACATGAGCATTAAAAAATACATTAATGAAAGTACTTCCCATCACTTGTAAAACGCTACGAATTAATTCCAACACCTAATATATCTTCAAAAAAAATTAAAGTGAATTGTACCTGAATAGAAGAGGGATTTATGCCTGCTGGATGGAGTGCTAAGTTCCCTGGCATCAATAAAGGTGCACCTTGAGTATTGTACAATTGTTGTAAATGATAAGCTTGACTCTGAATCGGCTGTTGAATCACTTGGACCGCTTGTGGATGTGCAGCCATCGTAGTTATGGTGGTTGCACCTTGTTGACCAGATAATGTCATGGACACACCTCCTACTCCCTGTTGCTGTTGATGTTGCATTGACACCGCAACAGCTCCCTGTAACTTTTTTAATGACGAGAGTAAAAGACTGATATGATTGTGTGAAGATAAAAGCCGAAGAATAAAAATGTGATAATTCAAAACATAATTAAATAAAATCAACAGCCAAATAAAATATAAATGAAAACATAAATATAAAATTATACTATAATTACATGTTTATGTAAAATTATTTATAAAACAGAATAAACTATAAAAAGTTTAAAAATACAAATGAATAATTACTTGTTGCGGCATGCTGGCAGCAACTTGTGGCTGAACTTGTACTTGAGTAGGAACAACATTGTGAGTTCCATTATTTTGCTGCTGTTGTTGTGGCTGCTGTGATTGTTGCTGCTGCTGCTGGACTTGTTGCTGTACCTGTTGTTGCACTTGCTGTTGAACTTGCATCTGCTGCTGCGACTGGACCTGCGGCTGTATCTGCTGCTGCGGCTGAACTTGCTGCTGCTGCACTTGAGGCTGTTGCTGGACCTGTTGAGGCTGCTGCGACTGCTGTACATGCTGTTGCTGCGGCTGGACATTCTGCTGTTGTTGCTGCAGATCATGAGTCGCGATCATCATTTGTTGCTGCTGCGCTTGTTGTTGCGGCTGCTGTGATTGCGATTGTTGTGCTTGTGATGTCGAAATTCCAATCGGTTTAACATCTGTCATGTTTCCTTATACTTTTACGTAATTAGAATACAGTTCTTTTAGAAAATGGAATAGCTCTCGCTGATAGTATTCAATTGCAAATCGCTCTTTTTTTTTGCCATTTTACATCCATGTTAATTTCAATCTGCCCATCATGCCGCACCTGCAATACATAGACAGATCAAAGGAAATCAATTTCTAGATACTCCGATCAGTTCCATTTTTTCGCGTGCATGCTCTATGCAAGATACATACATCGAAGATATTATTTTCCTAGCTCTTAAAGTTTGCTTTATCATTCATTAAAGCGAGATTTTGTATTTATTCATAAGTAAATAAGTAGTACAAGGATATTGGTAGAATATTTAAATTGCTTCCGCATTGTGTACGCACAGCATTATTTATTTTCATGTTCAAATGGAAATATCACGGTGGGATGCCTACTTCACGATCGAACTCAAGCTCGAGAGTCGAGAGATAAGCGTAAAGTAGCCATCGATGCCGCGCCATACATGTCGTCCGCGTCATAACCTTTGTCGACACTCGACAGACGAGTACGCGTACTTGTGGATCTGAGTCGGGATTCTCGCAAGCGAAGCTACTATACTGGTGCTCGGGAGTGAAGTGTGCCCTACGTTGCATCTTTTTTTGTTTCTCTCTCTCTCTCTCGACGATTACGCACGCGGAAACTTTTTCTCGGTCCAGCAAAGTAAGTCTTTCAGAAGTTATCGACGGTTCTCGTCGCGCTTTCCTGATTTTCGCCGCGCAAGAATAACGCGCGAGATCAAACACGGCGAGTCAAAGCATATATATGTTTTTGCTGATCCGCTCGATAACTCTGTCGTGTTAATATCGTACCCGTTTGTTCTTTTCGTTCGATTGAACGTCGTTTTATCGTAATAGGGTCTCATCATTGGGAGAATTAAACCGAGCGAATAGGTTATGCGAGGATATCGCAGC